TCTGATCCTGATGTGTAATTCTTCACCCTATACAGCCTTATTGCCTCGGAGCTTTTGATTACCGCCATGATTGTTGTGTTATGCGTAAATCTTTCAGCCACAGCAGGACACGGGGCATTATCCAACACTATGTCAATAGAGGAGACGAGCCGTCAGAGGAGCTAACAGCGACTCTAGCTGTCCTAGTGTAGCATGCCTGCCAGGCTTTTTCCGAATGTTTTTGACTACAAACCCTCATTCAGCCTGACTACAGCCAGCAGCACACATTAAGTCCACCAGCCTCATCTCCTGCACTGGCAGACTGCAGTGCAGTCTAAACAGCCGTAGTCTAATGCAGAGTCTGCTGGTGGCCCGGCATCACTGATTATTTTCACCATTCTCTCTTAACCCTTCACTGAAATCTGTTTTGTAGGTCAGAGGAAAGTACAACAGCCTGGTGGAGGTAGTCAGGCTCATGTAGTGAGTAAGAACAGCAGCTAAAGCTAAATTTAGCCCCGTTGAATAAGCACATGCTCCATCACCTGAATGTTGCTGTGTTAGAATGAAGAGGTTTGGAATCCTCCACAGTATTTTATCACACAGTACGGTGAAGTTATTCAGGAGCATGTTTACATAGTCAGATGCTGTGTTTTTGTCACATTGTGTTGACAGTCTCGTATTTTAGATTCTGACCAGTGCAACGATTGCCCTTTTTTTTTTGTTTATTAGTTGGCTGCCTGTTGGTCATCTTACTGGCATATTGGCTGCTCACACAGTTTCAAACCGTAAAGTGATGGAGACACTACTGCCATGACTCTGGAAGAAACTGTGCCCCCTGACTTTCACTGCACCACAATCTGTCCTCTCACCACTGACTCTCCTTGATCTCAGTGTGATTCAGCTTTCGCTCACCATATGGACAAACCTGTTTGTACCACAATAGTACCCGCGCTGTTGAAACCGACACGTGTTTGGGATATTCACACTTCAGGAAAGTCGGCAAAATGAGTTTTTTAAAGTCTTTGTATAATCAGCTTGCATTGGCCACAGTCTAGTAGCTAAAGCTGCATGTCGTGTTAACCCCCAGCAGTTGTACTTCTAATTATCTCTGATGTCAGTTAATGTGATCAGCCTCCTGGCCATGAAGCTGTAACAACAACCACTGAGATATAAACCTATTGGAGGGGACTTAAGGCAAAAACACAGAGGAGTAGTTTAGCTCTGTCAGTATTTCATGAATAGCTGCTGACTTTAAAACACCCAGATTGCAACCTGAGGAGTATCGATTGATCTTCATGTGGTGTTTGACTCACTTTAGGTTTTTGGTGGTTGTTGGCCAGTAAGCAGCATAATTCATTGTCTGTCAGTGTGAAAACAAGCTCATCAGGGACTGTCTCAAGCTTTAACATGATAGTTATTGTGTATACGATGCATAGTTTGTGCTTGTCTGTTTGAGCTCTGCTGTCAGCGCTGTAAAGTTAGTTAAAACACAGAGTAGCATCCTCCTCTGTTCAAGGCCAGGGCTCTGCAAATGCTGCAGTGAGCACCTGGTCTTGTGACATTGTGTCCTTGGCTGAGGAATTCACACACTTAACCCAGAACATCTCCCATTTTTAGACCTAAAACACAACTCAAGTGAGTGACAGCCAAACAGATGGCTGTACACTCACGTTTTTAACAGCAAGGACGACAGAGAAAAATACATGACAAACCACAAAAAGGTTAACAGCTTACTCTGCATCTATGACAAAGAAGCTGAATTGGTCATAATCCCACCCACACTGCTTCTCAGGAATGTCCTAATGATTCAGTATATGCACACAGTCCTGTGTAATCATGAGACCAGCCTTTAGATTGTGGCTGAGCTTGTAGCCTTTGACCTTTTTCTTGCCTGTCTGAAATGTGCACTCCATCAGAATGAACAGAAAAAGAAATTTGACAACTCAAGTACATTTCTGGTTTTGTGCTTCTTTTTTTCCCCCCTCTGCTGCTGACAGTGCAGCTTAAGGACACCTCTTGGGTTGTTGGTGAGCAGAATTTTTGCTCACTCGCAACAATCCCATCATTTTGCTGTTGGTCCAGAGATTTGGCATTTCTATCCTTCAGACTGCCACAGTGCTGTAGTAGAAGGAGGTGTGTTGTAGGAAACTGATGAAGGGCTTATGGAGCTGATGTTACAGGTTTTAGCACTTTGTCTTTGTGCAAGGATTAAGGTAGTGTATGCAGTGCAGAACTTTGGGATCATTGTCATGCTGCAGAATGAATTTAGTACTCATCCAACACTGCCCTGATGTCATTGCATGATGGATAAGAATCTTATAAAGTGCCTGAATTGTATGTGCAAGTCAAAAATGAGTTTTCAAAATGTCTATAAAACCTGAAATGGCAACGCCTGGTCCAGCCCGGTGCAAATGCGCTGCTCCGGTGAGCCTACTCAGCATGCAGTCCTGCAGTGAATATGATCAATTTCAGTCCTCAAGGGGGTGATATAAGCTAGTTAGAGCTAAGCAGAGTGCGTCCATGTCAGCAGTAGTAAACAAACATGACATCCGTGGAGGAATGCTGTGTTGCTGCACTCAGAGCACCGAAGAAAGGGAAAAACAAACAGTAGATAAAATGCTGAATTGCTCACAGAGGAAGGACATAGAGTTCCTGTCTGAATTTTGACAAATTTCATCTGGACCTTCGTCAATTTGGTTAGCATCATTATTTTCAGCAGAAGTGACCCCAAGCAATGACAGTTAACTTTATCTTGTTTCATATTATAGTGACCCTACCTGCAACACCCAGACTGCAGATGGTACATTAACATAATACTTCCTCAGGTGGCACGCAGCAGAAAGCATCTGAAATCCATTGTCCATGTTTGGGGTCTGAGATTGGTATTAAAGCTGCAGTAGGTAGAAATCTGGAAAGTGCATAAAAAACTGAATTTGGAAAATATACAGCCCTCTTCCTCTTCCCGTAATACAAGCACGCCTTTCAAACATGCAAACACAGTCGAGCTACATTTGTGGCTTCACCCAGGATTCAGACCTCAGTCTCCCATGTTAGAGTACTCTGTCTAACCCACCACATCCTCTGTTTACTGAGATCTCCCATCATAGGCTAGATTTTCAAAAACCTAAAGAACTGAGTCGAGAGGAGGTGCAAAAGTCGAGTTTCCTCTCGGGCTGCTTGAATTACAATATGCTGAAAGGTTCGCGTGACCGCCTTCGCCCTAAGTCGGCTGGGACAGGCTCCAGCCCCCCCGCGACCCGAGTGAGGATTGAGCGGTGTATAGATAATGGATGGATGGATGGTTAGCGTGACCTTTTTGCCCAATGATGCCAAAAAACAACAACAACAAAAAAAAAAACCACTGCCTACCTCAGCTTTAACATCACATCACAATAAGTTGCACTTCCTGTTTTTTTTCGATCAAAGCAGCAATGCATTTTCTGTAATAAAATGATGATGATAATGTTTTAAGTTTATAGGTTTTGCAATTCGCAAGTGGCCTTTGGAAACTGTAAATGTTCAGTTCACTGTTTCAGGAAGGGAAGAAGCATGCTTGTGATTTATTTCCCAAAACAAAATATTAATTTTCTGTGGCAAAATAATGTGCGATAAATATCATAATTTTTTTTCCAACATGACTCAGCTGTGTGGTGCGACTTTTCTCTGCCATCTCTGCTGTAAGAGAAAGTAATAGGAAGTGGGATGAGGCGGGGCGTTTGATTTAATGTTCCATCGATGCCAAATGTTGTTAACCGATCACTTAATTGTTGTGTAGGATATTACAGTATTGATACTTAATGAACACGAACAGAGGATTTTTTTCTCAGTGTACACATAGAACCTCATCACTGAGCATGCTCACAGACTTGTGCACAATCATGAGCTATTCTCCAGAGACCAAAACTTAGTTGTGGATTTGTACCAGAAGAAACCACACTGATTTATCGTAGCAAAAGATTAGAATTGCTATTTAATGTTTTTTTAATGACAACCTTTTCTTGTTTTCTTTTTTCCTTCCGAGGCATGAGCTAAATCATTTACAGATAAGACTTGTTCCTGGGATTAATTTGTTGATTTTAATCTTTTCGTTGGATTTGCTGAGGAAAAATAAAAGGTGTTGCACTGGGAAATTCAGGTGTTATGAAATTTTGTTTGTACATTCTGAACAGGCCCACCATATTTGCATGTGCGTAGTGCAGTGTACTCATTTCTCACACTTTTAGAAGCAAGACTGGTTTGTTCATCTCTCGACAGGATCAGTTTGGGAAACGGACAGATGGGAGATAGGCCCACTCATGCTGCCCCAAAGTCTGCCCCAGCTGCTTGGAGATATTACGCTTCGTGTGTGATGATTAATAGGTCCTCGGCAACACGTCACACTTAGTTTCAAACGGTTGCAGAAACTACTTGGGGACCGAAGAAGCAGCCGATGATAAAATGCATGTGCTGCGTTGCACCGACAAGTGCACGCAGTCAGAGTTAGCCCCATGGGTGACTGATGGTGCTTGCAACTGTGGTTCAGTATTTACTACTCTGCTGGGTCAAATGGGGAATCCTCACTGTGACCCAGATAAGCTGTTTGGATTAAGACTTGCTAAAGTGATTTATTATAGTTCCATGTTAGCAACATTGTTTTGGCTTTTACAGCTCTTGCTTAGTGTGGTGCTCCCTCTCTCTTCCAGTCCTTTAGGAAGCTAGTGCTATGAAATGTCCTCGTTCGTTTGTCCTGGCCAGTTGGACACCAGCTTAACTTGTGACCCTTTACTTGTACAGGGTGGAATGAAATGTTTCTCGTAGCCATTTATAGATGCTGTTCCACATCTTTCTTTAATGTTTCCTTTTCCTCAGTTACACTCTCCAAGAATGCAGAAGCATCCGAAAAACAATCTCACTTGTTTTAAATGTTAATATAAGTGCAGTTTTTTGCAACTATATTCTGTATATGCACCCTGTCTGGAACTGTTTCTTTTGACTGTTCTCTGCTCTCCTCAACTAACGTCCATACTGTCCTTGTCTTACAGGTGAACCACGCAAGTTTGACCCAAACTTCAGTGGGCCTGTCCAGAACAGGTACTCAACATCAACTCCTTTTACATGTCAAACAACTTTACAAACACATTTCACTCACAGAGAACGGTTTATAAGCTGATTTTTATCACCTGCACTGTGATGGAGTGAACGCAGAAATCTCAAACAACAATTCTTTTGTTAAAGGAAATATGTTTTGGAATTTGGCTGAACTGACCTCCCAAACATCTGACTCGTACATGCATATTGATTTTGCCCATTGTATAATCTTTTTGGCACCCACCCCTGTCCGGGTGGTGACAGATTGATTATTTGTCACGCTACATTAATAAAGATCGAGGTTTGAGCGCTGGCAGCTCTCTCCACTCCACCACACAGATCAATGGCCATAAGTCAAGCTGGTGGCTGCAGTTAACCCAATGACACACATGTTGCTAGCCAGATACAGTGAAGCGGATGTACTAGGAATGTCAGGAGAATCGATGATTCGGTACAAAGTAGACGCCAAAATTCTGAAAACAAGGAATGTGGTATTTTTTATGCTACCAAAAGTAGCACAGGTACTGTACATGCTGTAAATGCTGGACATACTGGACAATAGCAACATCATTAAACAGGTTAGACTTATCTAAGCAGCTCGAAGACATTCAGATCAGGATTCACAGTGAGGGAGTTTCTGTTGCTATGTTAACAACATGTTGTCAAAATGTTAACTTCCTGAAATTTTTACTCTTAGGCTCTTTTCAGACATGGGATCTGTAACATTGCTGCTAGCTTCATCGGTCTGTTAATGTAATAGCACTCCATCATTCAGACTTAAATGATTTTTTAATTATCGTTTCTCATGGCTTCATTTGGACAGACTCACTCACAACAGTGACAGAGACAGGAAGTGTACACTCAATATTTGTCTTTCTCACAATATTGGACGTACATCAAATGATGTATAATACATAATAATGCAATAATAAACAAATGACTAAATTTAAACTAATAGCAAGCTTGTCAAATTGTCCAAATAACTAACAACCTAGTTTATTTATGACTTCCCTAATCACTAAAAAGTTCTGTCCCTGTGTGATGGTAGTCAAACTACTGTATGACTTTAGAAACAGGAAAATAAACATGTTCTGACAGCTGGGATGGAGCTCAGGACTCAACCTCAGTAATAAATGAAGTTATCAGTGCTGTTGTCCAGTTGTTTCAGGTGGGAAAATATGCGCAACTCCTGATGCTAAACTCAGACGAAAGCCTCGTACAAACAGCTGAAAGCAACAAACTGTACTTCTGTTCCTGTTATATTTAGTTTTTAAAAAAGAAAACACAGTCATTAGTAGTGGATCTCATGAATCTGAGCTGTGTAGTTTAATCACAGTAAAGTTTTATTGTTATTGACGTTTCATTTTGTATCCTCAAAGATATTAAATTGTAGTGCAAAGTGAGTGAGACAGACGTTTTGTGATTTTTGGCATGCTAACTCATGATTTTTTTTTGGCCAATATTTGGTGCTGAAATGTGATGAAGGCCTTCCCCAATTCACTTCACACAGCTCCAAGTGCTGTCGCGCCCATCTACTATTGTGACTCCATGCCGTTCAGACAGCTGCGTTCAAAGTGAGATGTCATCGCAACTTTCATAGAAAAGTGTTCAGGGTTGTCATTTCAAAATTAAACTGAGACGTTCTGTTGTTGTTAGACTAACGGAAAAGAGTGGACGTCTACAAGTGGCTTTATGTGATTGTGACAGCTGCATATACTGTAAAAACGCTCTACACATGATGTTCATAAAGGCTGATGTTAACTTGTTTGTGCGAGCATACCAGTAGTTCATAATTTGGGCTGGATTATGCCCACAACATTAGCAGCAACCCTTTATTACCATTTAGACTGCTAAGATATAATCAATTACCGTAATTTCTGGACTATTGAGGCACCTGAATATAAGCCACACCCAGTAACTTTAAAAAGAAAACTAGTTTGTACATGTACAGGCTACACTTGTCTATAAGCTGCAGGTGTCCACGTTGTAACATGAGATATTTACACACAAAGATTTTAAACTTTTAATTAAATACGTACTGGAAACAAACACAAATACGTACCATAGATGCTTTTTTCCGAACAGTGCCTGCAACACGGCTGGTTAAGAAAATAAAAAATACAGAAGCCTGCCAGGAAAAGTCATTGATCGCTATCTTCATCTAAAGTCGTCTTTTTCAGTGTCGGAGTTGAACAGCCTCAGAATTCCTTTGTCACACACTTCCTCAGTCTCTCTTTCGTTGTCGCTCTCAACGTCACTTTCATCTCGAGGCAAATTCGTAAATTAGCTGCATCATTGTTTAAACTGCAGTGTTCAAAGTGTGTGAAAAAAATAGCGGCTTATGGTCCGGAATTTACGGTAAATAAGAATTTTTAATGAAATGTTCAAGTACATTTATTTGAATTTTCTTCCTTTTTTGGGTATCGAATTTGTTATTGAAATTTGTGGCAATTCAGTGGTATTAATACGAACGACCACATTTCTGCTATTGTGACACGTCTGGTCTGCACAGTACTGTGGCTATAGGGGAGGCAGATTGAAATATCTGGTGTTCCGCGACCAGCAGCGACAGTAACTCATCTCCTGATGAGCTGCAGTTCGCTTTCTGCCTCGTGAGGGCTGTAACTCTACACATGCTAAAGCTCATTGTTGGTTGCATTGATAGAATTTGAAATGTGCTGAATGGCGTTTGGGGAAAACATCTAATTGCAAATTTTCTGTCACATATTGTGATCGCATTTTGATTTGCAACAGATTGTTTTAAAGGCGGGGCTCAGTTTATTATTCACTGTTTAATGGATGTAACTGCTCTGTCTTCTAACGCAAGGATGATGCATTTATTACATTTTTTAGGTGGCATATAACAATCAAACATTGCACACTGATCAGATCAGAAGGCTGTGACTGTGTTAAGTTAAATACAGTGATGCTAATAATACTTAAACAATGCCAGCAAGGAAATAAAACTTTTCTGTGAACTATCTCTGACTGTGAAACCGATTAGTCACTCATGTATAGCTCAGGAGCAGCATTCAAGTACTACACATAATGCCATCAAGTTAAATAAGCTAGTGATAATAAGAAATAAACCTTGGGCTAGGCTTATGGCATGGAGTATATTCTGAATTGGAATTTTTGCAATTTGGTAAAAGCATTATTTCAAACCTCATTTTGCTTTGAGATTAATTAATCATTCATTGAAACTAGTGTTTAAATAAGTATGATTCGCTGAAAACCCATCGCAATGCTTTGAAAAGAATTGAAAATGCAAAATGTCTACAATGATGTGATGTGCAGATGTGATCATTTGCATTTAAGCATACAGAATTCTAAACTTGAGGCTTGCCTTCAGAATATGAATAAAGGAGACTTTTCAAATGAATTTTCCCTTTTATTACTACCTGATTTCATAGCACAATGGAGAGCAGACTTTAGCAATAAAGCCAAACCTCTTGAGGGTGTCACCATAGGCTTTTCTTGATGATTTAGTCATTTGCTGAGGTAATGTAGGCTCTAATCTCTTTTATGTTCAATGTCAGTTTGGCAGGCTGCTGTGAAGGCATGTTTCAGTCCTCCTGTGTGTCTTTATCCCGCCCTCTCCAGCCCATTTCGCTGCTACAGCTGGGTGAAGGCACCAAGGATACTTTGATGTTTCTGTGGCCCAGAGGCTTTTTCTTAATGAGAACGGGGAGACAACCAGCGCTGTGGTCGTCTTGTTTTCATGCGAGCTCGAAGCCTAAATGAAGAAGCCGTGTCTGGTTATTGAGCAGTCCTCAACAGGCCGCGCAGAGGAGCGCGTGGCGTGGTGTTAATTTTGCTCGACGGCGGCTGTAAACTGACAAAGATGCCATCAGCGTCCAAAACATACACAACAAACAACGCTAATGCGATGTAATCATTCCTTTTTATTGCGTTTCCTCAGAGTGTGCTTCTGTGTAAATATGCACTTAAAGCATAAATCTCCCTCCTAGCATGTGTGACAGCTCACCTAAAGGAGCCTTGTGTTTGTCAGGAAAACTGCTCACTTGAACAATTGTCCCTCATGGCTCTCATGACCGTGTGAAATATTCCTTTTGTGTGCAAATCTGGCTCCCTTTCCTGTAAATGTCTGTTACAAAGCAGGGACAGTCTGGCAGATTCACACCACAATGGCACCCACGCTATTCTGTGGCACTTGTGCCATCTGTGTCACCTTGGCTCCCGCAGAATATCAGCGCTGCAAATATAACACTGACACAAAAGTTTTCCATTGCACTGACAAAGCTTCCAGTACCGATTTTTATTTTTTATTTTTTTCAAAGCAGCACTGCCTGCCAACACAGTACACAACCAGGGCAATGCTTGGTCCCTGAGTAAGTATGTGTAAGTGACATCTAAAGAGAACTGAAGTTTGGGAGTGAGGCCAAGCTGGAATCCAAATGGATTTTGTTTAACTGTTTCCCTGAGATAAGACAATGAAGGAGAATTGTTTTCACTCTCCTCACCTTGTCAACTTCCTCTCAGCGCTGACCTTTGCATGCTTCAAAGGTGACTTTGTTTTAGCGCTGTGCTGCTGTGTTTGCACTTTGTCTCTTAAAAAAAAAAAGAAAAAAAGAAAAAGCATGCGGCCGCGTCTATACGAGGGAGTTGGAAGGCACAGCAGAATGTAACAGTCACATTAAAGCAGAGGAGAGGCAGCTTCATCTTAAGACTCCCAGCTCTCATATCTTCCCCTCTGATCACCTCGGATGTGTGGCTGAGTGATAGCTAACTTATTTACCAGCTGAAGGATGAAAAGGAATTCAGAGATAAGGAATGCAACAATCACCATAGCAACCCAGACAGCTCTTTTTGAATGAAATGAAATGATACTCCCTTGTCTCCCTTTGTTAATAACACGTGCAATCTCACCAACAGCTTTGCGGCTAGTGTAGCGGGTTGTCTTTATCCACATCGTATCCACTGTCAGTAGAAAACCGTGGCTGTCTTCACTTAGCAAAGCTGTGCCCATTTTAGCTGCCGTTTTTTTTTTTCCTCCGTTATCTTCAAGAAATAATTGCTGCGCCTCCAGAAAAACGGTTTACACCTTGATATGTGTCACAAATCCCCCAGGCCTATTTCACATGGCGACTCCTTATTTACTTCTTCATGTCATTCCTGAGTTTCTTCTTTTGTTTTATGTTAGCTGTAGTGAGGGATCCATCTTTTATCGTGTCTTAGTGTGAACATTTTGCATTAGTTTGACCAATGGAGAGTATTTTCAGTCAAAATATGAGTAGCTGACTTCTGAGTAGCCTTTATCTATTCACTCACATATCTGTTCGCTTACACGTGTAAATCAGAAACCTCTGTTTTAGGAACAAGAAAGGATGATAAGCAAGCACATGCAACGATGTCAACTGAGAGCTGGCATTGTTCAGTGGACTGAATGAATTCTCTGTTACAACAGCTACGCAAACCCCAGTGAGACCAGTCCTCACCTGTACTTCCTCTGCTGGGAGGATCAATGTTTACAGGTTCAGGGTACCTTTATTTCTACGTCATTTTGTCTTATGAATCCCAAATGCAGACGAATAAAAGTGAATGACGGTTGTTTTTTTGAATTTCTTACAGAAATTTGTACAGCATTGTCCGACTGCTCTTTATGTCAAAGTAACAGTGGTTGACATCATCAGTTAATTATCCAGTTGCTTTCTCTGTTAATTATCTTGTATAGAAAACGCCAGAAAATAGCGACAAATGTCCATTAAGCTTCTGAACCCCAAAATTCGCAAGCAGGTTTGACAGGCATGGTATCTTTTTTTTTTTAAACAATCTGAAAAATGACGCCGTTTATTGCTCGTAATCTGTAAAAACAGAAAGAATCGTCAGATTTTCGACTTTCACCCTTTGAACTTCTCGTCTGTGACTTGCTGTTTAGTCGGGAAATGACCAAAATCTTTTGCTATTTCATCAAAATTATTTTATTCGACATGTCTGATTTTAAAATTCATGAATAAAAAAATGTTTGCTCTAACTAGATCAGGGGTGTCCAATCCTGGTCCTCGAGGGCCGCAATCCTGCATGTTTTACATGTTTCTCTCTTCCAACACACCTGATTCAAATGATCAGCTCATCATCAAGCTCTGCAGAAGCCTGATAACGATCCTGATCATTTGAATCAGGTGTGTTGGAAGAGGGCAACATCTAAAACTTGCAGGATTGCGGCCCTCGAGGACCAGGATTGGACACCCCTGAACTAGATGCTTTAAAAACTAAAAAAAAAACTCATCCGAGAAGTCCTGAGTGACTCATGACAAACTCCTTGGGGTTCAGAGGATTCATATTTTCTAGATGGCTCTTTTTATTTACACTCCAGAATCCATGTTGTTCTTTATGAGAAACAAGAATGTATGAAGTTGGAACCAACACATTTTCTGCCCGTTTTTTTTTTCTCCTTCTTCTGTAGATAAACAAATCTTTTAATTGGTTAATTACTGCTGCTCTGGTTTCAGTCTTTCATCATCGAGCGTCTTCAAGTGGAGATTGTGGTTCAAGTTGAGATGGTTGCTTGAAAAGATGGTCCATGGGTCAGCTATCATAAGCTCCAAATGTGCCGGCCACGTTATGAGCCTCAAAATCACATTTTGAATTTGCAAGTGTCTTCAGTCTTAGTGTAATTCAGATAAAAGAGGCGATAATGGAGCCATCCTATTCCGAAATGAGAAACAAGGAGTATTAGCAGCCCTGCTGGGACAGAAACGATTTCCACTCGCCCGTATTGCTAAGTTCAGCAAACCAATCTACCAGAGCAGCCTGTTAACATAGATTGCAAGCTTTACTGCAGTTATTAATGCAGGACCATAAAAATTATCTCTTAATTGCAGCCGCACTTGCAAACAGTCCAGGATAATTTGCAGCGCAAGCTTAAATTACACAGCTGACCCTAAATCTCAGGAGCTAAACTGAGCATGCAGCCTAAGTAGTGATGTTTGTTTCCGAGCAAAAAAAATACATTCAGCGCACTTGTTTACGTCCTCATGTGAATGCATTAGTGTCTATTTAAATCACTGTTTGTATGGGTTCCTCAGCAGCTGATGTGATGTGTGTGCATCCCTTTTCTAGTCCGTCTTCAGTGTTTGCTGGGTAATTGTGAAGCGGTATTTGGAGGCTGAGGAGCAGAGTTGTCTGAATGCAGCCATGTAACCATGCAGCATACAAAACAAGGACAGTCCACTGTTCAGAGAACTACACGGAGGAAAAGCTGTCACATCTCTGACCTTCAGCCTCCTTTTGACCTTGTTTTTGAAAGCTGGGGGAGATGAGTGCCTCAAGTCAATTTTGCTAGCATATGCTGCTAGGAGGAGGCTACATACGCCCCCTGTACGGTACTACTGGACACGGTGGAGTCACGGCTACAGTCTGAATAGTTTTGAAAAGGATGACCAGCTTCTCTCAGAGCAGAGAAGAGGGGAAGGAAGCTTGTTATGGGAAGACACTGAGACCGTGAATAGACTCAAAAAGAAAAGACTCAGAGATGCTGTTTTAAACCAGCAGACTAAGGCTTCTGTGGAGTGAGAGGGGGGATCTTCAAATAGCTGTCTCTGTGCCTGTGGGACACTTAACTCTAGGGGGGACTCAGAGTCTCATCAAGAAGTCAGTGGAGCTCTACTGCAGTTTCTTTGAAAACATACAGATGACACTTTGTCATGCCCGGAAGCAAGAACCGCATCTCGGTATAGAGCTGAAACTCATTTTCCATACAGCAGCGATATCGTGATTACCAACAACGACATGCTTAAATACACAATGCGCATTTATTTCTCCTTGAGCTGAAGCAAATCCCCAGTTCTCCTCAGGGATGCATGATTAATGTATTTGCTAGTGTTGCTAATTTTGCACCCACCAGCTAACCATTCATAAATAAATGTATTCCTCTGTTGTAATCTTATATGTCACACTTATTCTCATGTGTTTTTTTTTTTATTATTATTTCTCTTCAGGAGCTGCACTGATGTGGTTTGCTGCGTTATCTTTGTCATTGTCATCCTTGGCTACATCGCTCTGGGTACCGTGGGTGAGTTTCACACGTTGCACCACTGATTACATCACACAAACTTTCATAACAACACATGTGCGGCACTGGTGATAGGTGCTGCTGCTGCTGCTGCTGCTGTGTTCTGGAAAAGTGAAATTGCTCACTTTATCCTGATTCTTCCAGGCTTGTACACAAGCAAAAAAAAAAAATCTCCAGCTGATGTTGTGAAAAGAAAGGTGAACGCAAAGCGCACGCTCTGCTTGCACGGGTTTTGTCTGACAGTAATTTGACAAAATCTTAATTTACCAAAACACAAAACGTCTCCGCAGGACACACCAGAGTAAAACAAGCTGCTTTTTGTTGTTGTTTGTTGTACTTGTTCGTAATTTTCTTGGTGGGTTATCCAACAAAATGTCTGATTGTGAGAAGTGTGGGGGAGTTGAGAAACGCTAGCTCCAGCAGAGAATGGGCTTTTCTTTTAATAAGTAGGACTTGAGCTGTAACTTGCAGCACACTCTGGTGAGTAAATCTGTTTTGTGTCCCAGTCAGGTTTTTGACTAGGTGACTAATGACTCCCCTGGCTCAAACTTCTTGTAGCTGTTTCGTTTAGTGTGACAGAGAATCCACTTTGTCTGCAACCAAGGCTATGCAGTAAACCTCCCCACCAGCTATCGTTTTCTTTTTCTCTACTTTTTTTTTTTTTGTCTTTCTCCCTTCATCCATTTGTTTCCTTTTTCCATTTCACTTTTTTTATCCTCTTCCCCTCCTCTGTATTCCTTCTCATGCAAATATATATACTGTACCCTTTTCTCCTTGTTTCACACAGATGTATGATATACATCACAAAGTCGGGGGGAAATGAAGTCCCAGCGCTGTCAGTAAAGAGCCGTCTCTTGCCAGCTTGTTGTCAGTGGAGTCACGTCTCAATCTGGGCATGGGAAGGACTTACTGTTTCCCAATTATTTAAAAAGAGCAGGAGCCATGACAATGGATGTGACTTCAAATAGACACTGACATGTCTGCAATCAGCTGAAAAATGTAGTGTTTTGTTTTTTTTTTTTCATAAATTTTCGTCATCCTTACTTGTAGATAGTTTTTATTGTGCCGCTCACGTTTAGCACGATGCTTTCTTGACCGGCAAGGTGAAAAGGCCTTAACACTGTATTGTTAAGGTTGGACGAGTTAATGAAGAAAAAAAATAGCTTAGTGTTGTGATACTGCTCTTATCTAGAGAAACGGGAGCAAACAAATTAAACTGGATAGATTTGGTTTGTTTGTGTTTTTGTTGGAATTTCTTTTCAATTAATATGCATTCCGGCAATCCTCCAAATAAATCGCTGTTATATTGGCTTGTTAATTGTGTTAGTTTCCTTAGTTAGTACATACCCAGCCACACATTGCCTTGACTTTATCTTTATCATTGTATATATATGTACACACACACATACACATAACTTTCTTCGATCAAGCTGTACGTTGATAATGCTGCAATGCTTGTCCTTACGTAGCAGAGCATTGTCCCTGTTGCATTAAAGAAATTAGAATTAGATTTACACAAACCTGAGGCTGACAGGAATCATCAAATGTGTCAATAAGGACCACAAAGAGTCTGCAAAGGCTTATAATGAGTTGACCTCATGTGCTACAGAAGGAAAAAGAATTGTGAGACGTGAGCCTACATGTGTCTACTAAGGCTACACAAGCTAAAGTTTGTGCAGTTTGAAAGCTGTTGTATGTTTTTCAGCCTGGATTCATGGTGACCCCAGGAAGGTCGTCTATCCAACCGACAGCCACGGCCAGTTCTGCGGCCAGCAGGACACCCCCAATGCGTAAGTACGAAAAACCCTGCTCCTGAAGTTGTTATACAGCCAAATAGTCATGTTGTCCAATTTGTCCGTCAGCTTTCCATTGTTATCTTTACACTCACAATCAACTGACCACAAAGCAGTACGACGAGACGATTTTGTGATGAATTCTGGCGAGTTTTACTGCGCAGTACACTCTGCGTGTTAAATGCTCTCTGATAAAACACTGCATAGTAATGGGCTTTTGGATCTGTCTAATCTGTCTTCCCTCTTTGTCCTCATCTTTTGTCTCCACAGAAACAAAGCCATATTATTCTACTTCAACATGTTGAAATGTGCCAATCCTGCAGTTTTAATTAACCTCCAGTGCCCTACAACCCAGGTGAGAGACTGAGCGAGGCGCCCTTCTCGCGGCGCATTATGCAGCGCTTTATGTTGCTCTCCAACTTTCCCGCCACGCATGATTATGCAAGATTGATGGGCTTTCTCATTAAGAGGATGTGTTGCTTTCTGCAGCTCTGTGTCTCCAAGTGCCCTGACAGATTTGCCACTCTCCTGGATGCAAGGAATACCAAAAATTGGGAATATTACAAGCAATTCTGCAAGCCGGGCTTTGAGATTGGCAGTAAGGTGAGAGACAATTAATGGTCTGTTGTGCTGTTTGGTTTTGTTTTTTTGTTTTTTTTTTGCAAACTAGAAAAATATGGATGGAGAGCTGAATCGCTGTTCCTTGTTCCTCAGGGCGTGCGTTTTTAGAAACACTTTTTGACCAAATGTAATTCTCCACAGAAATCATTTCACCAGTTCTGTACAGTCATTACAACAAAGAGCTTGTTTGAATGGGCTTCAAGAGAGAGGCGGAAGTGAGCTAGCAGCCGCTCATGCACATCACAGCTCTGTTCTGTGGACTGGCAGCGGTTCAATGGTGATGACGTTGGCATGATGGCGTGTAAGAATCAAAGTGAGGTGTTGTGTGGGAGCACCTTACAGCTCTGTCACAGCTTTTGGACTGAATCATAGTTTTTTTTTTTTCCCTTCCCACTCCATCTCAAGTATGGGAGTGTTGCTTCAAACAGGATTCAGCCAAAGTCCGTCACATCTGGCGTGTTGGTCTGAGGATTAGCGATGATAATACAAATACCAAAGCTATAATCTGCGCAAGTGATATAGTTATTTTCCTAAAATAGGAGCTACTTTAATATTGTACAGCCTCATAAAATACAGAAGTTTAGTTATTTGATTTCGCTGTCTGTTAAATGTAAATTGATGGTAGCTTTATTGGAGACATCTAAAATTAAGCATCATGTTTGATATATTAAAACTGACAGGAGCATGAATTATAGTTGGTTTTAAAATGCAGAGAAGCACACAAGGCTTTCCGAAAATTCCCAGCACACACACGACAGATTCAGACAAAACAAAAGATCACTTAACTTAATGGAAAAGGCGTTCCGTTCTGTCTCTATGATAAAGACTGCGATGAGTGAATGGTCACTGATTAATCACTCGTATTCAATAGTTTCAATCATTGTCCCCTTTGTTTCCCTCTCAGTCAACTGGAGAAGTCATACGAGATGAAGACTGCCCATCTATGATTGTGCCAAGCAGACCTTGTAAGTGCATCCGAAACACAGCAACGCACAATAGCTCGTTATTTGTTTGCCGAGCCGCTTAATTCAACCGAAAATGTTCACAAATGTGTTTCAGTCCTTCAGCGGTGCTTCCCCGATTTCATTAGAAGAGATGGAATTCTAACTGTAGCCAATCAGACCATCTTCAAAGACGGCGACAATAACAAGAGGAGCGTCAACGACCTCAAAGATGCTGCCATGTAAGGACCCGCTTCTTTGCAACCTTTGAATCGTTGCCCCTAAATGTTGAATCGGTGAAGTTATAGCCGTAGAAAAGTCGTTACATTGGGAATTGGCATGCTCCTACGCACAATAATAAGCCCTCTAGAGTAAAGTGTTTTGAAACTGTTATGCTGTCAATAGGGATGCCAACTCTGCACCCAGAGAGCTCTGGACAAATATTACAGGGTAGGACAAAGTGGGGCACGTCTGACGCCCAGGAATGTGTCCAGTCACATTCAAAGTCATGTGCATGTTTATCGCATGAAAATGTAGCTTACCTTCAAGTTCTAGGCTAGAACTTCAGGGGTATCTAAAAGCTTATGACAGCTGCTTTGTTATATCCACATTATCAGCATGTTAACGGGCTGCAGTAGCGGAGAAATCATGTATTTGAAGCAGCTGATACGACACACATACATGATTCTGTGTTTGCTGTTCTGAAATGTTGTGAGCAGTACCTGGAAGTATAACGTCATTTTAATGCTTTTCTCTTTGTAGCCAAGTATCTGCCATGCAAGAAAGAGCGGAAAGGTCTCCAAAAAAATGATTTATTTGGGCTTTTTAACTTTGCCTCTGCTGTGGCCAGTAGCTTCATGTAGACTAACCCTCCCACCTGTACCTGTTCATCGAGAAGAATCCATTCCTTCACCTGCAACAGTGGACAGGAATTAGGAGAATTAATGCTATTGTTTGTGGCTTATCTACCTCAAAACATCAACTCAACGACTGTTTTGTGAGTCCCAGTACAGTCTGTGTGACATACAATAGAACGTAGAGAGTGATGTGGTGCCCCCTGGTGGTCATTAGGTTTGCTCCCTCCATGTAGACGCTGGATGCGATCCAAACTCCTTTGTATTGACAGTGACCTTTATGGAGCTGGATTAGACCTCATTACGCTGCTTGCAGAGCAGCTTTCAGTGTTCTGTTTGTCCCGTAGCAAAGTTGTCCTCTATACCTCCTCAGTTGGGACTGCAGAGATTTATCTGAGTCAGAGGGCAGTAAAACTTTGCAGTAGTCATGTTCTGACTTTGTTGCCAGTCTTGCGGTTTGATTAGAGCTTCCTCTACTGTTAAAGCAAATGAAGCTTTTTACTGAGCTTTTACCAAAATGAGCTCAACTGTCCTGTGTCATGAATCGGGACTCAAACATTTAGTTTATCTAGACTATGACTGTCTCCCTGATGTTGTCACTGATTATCACAAACAGACACACATGGGTTCTTGATGTAACACATCCATTACAATGTGCTACGCCACTAGTTGCTCCTCTGTAGCACATTCAGTAACACGCTGCTATACCATTTACTGCCATACTGTCGGACCTACTGCATAATAGCGCTTCAGTAACTCTTAATTCTGTTTTGTGGCTCATTGATATGACGCTTACGATTAATTTCCAGACCCTCAGATGCTGATAATTAGCTTGTAGAGCCGGGATTATCAAAAGCACTTTGAAACCGTATTCATCTTTGTTTCACAGCGAGAGCAGTAAAGATGAATCGAGTGTCAAAATGTTTCTGAGAAGCCCAAGTTAGCTTAGACAGGCAGTGGTATAAACCTGCCACAGTCCCTCTCTGTGGTATTAAATCCCTTTTTGTCACTATTTTTCCTTCCCACTTTTCCCCACTTCACCTTGTTGCTCCATCACAGAGGTATTGCCAGTCTGCTAAATGCCAAAGAAGTTGGCATGAAGATCTTTGAGGATTATGCAAATTCCTGGATCTGGATCCTCATGTAAGAAAAGCTTTCTGCAATTTTCATATTTCATTTATTATTCTTATTATGAATGTTGTGCTCCTCTGTGGGAAGAGAAGATCCGTCAGTGAAATTCATGATGAAATACTGTTTTAATTTTAATGTCCAATAACTCCTGTTTTCATGCGTTCGTATTTTGTAATTTCTTCTCTGAAAATAACATATTTGGAAACATTTGATCTTCTTTAAAACTGTCCCTGCAGATAAAGTAGAATACTTGAACAACACCACAAATAAAATGAGCTTTTCACATCATTCATCCAACAAAAACATTAATAATTGTGTTCTTCTGTGGAACAAGTTTGTTTCCTCAGACACTAATATTGATAGATTGGTGGATGTTTTGCGTAATTGTCTGCCAACCGTCTAACATTTTTGACCAGTCTTCCATGCAAAGTCTTTCTTTCTTGCCGTACTGTTCGTTAAAATCCCCCCACAACATTTTAATGAGATGTCAAGTCTGGGCCTTCTTTTTGTTTTTTGTTTTTTTTTCTTGACTAAACCATCCCATAACCCTTCTTTTGAGCCGTTCCTTGGTGGATTTGCTGGTGTGCTCAGGATCATTATCCCATTGAAAGGTTCACTTGTGGTTCAATTTAAACTTTCAGACAGATGGCCTCATGTTATCTTCAAGCAGTTGTTGATATGATGCATAATTAATGCCTGAATCAATGTCTGCAAGCTGCTCAGTCTCTGAAGCTGTGAAAAATCCCCAAACCAGAAGAGTTTCCTCGCACACACATCCCATGCAAGGTTCAATTTGTGCATTGTCTTTCTATCAACACAAATTGCAAGAGTTACCGTCAGATCCCGTGAGGAAATTTAGGCTTTCTCGAAGACTTTGTTTTTGCATCAAGCAGGCTGTTCTTGGACTGAACTTGCTGGAGCGGCCAGTCATGGATAAATCCCTTCTAGACTCACAGGCATCTACAATCTTTTTTTCAAGGCTTTACAAGGCTCTCTAGACGATGCAACACACTTTAATAGCAAAGAGAACGCCAGACACTAGATGACAAAGGTTAACAGTGTGATAAATGGATTTATTTTTTTCCATGTAACACTGTTTTTGTATTCCGCCTTTATCTGTAGGCAATGTTTCAGAAAGGATAAAGTGTTTCTTTGTCCAAATATGTCTGTAACGACAATTTCAGCAAACCCCTTTTAGTCTGCTGCTTGACCGCTACTGATGGCTGGGTTGGTTTTAGTCTTGACACATGCAGATGAATGATGAAGTGGATTCAGTCGGTCCCACTGACCATTTATTGCATTTCTTGTTCTTCGAATTACAAGTCAAAAATAAAATAAAAACGTGTTAAATCAGAAGTCTTGAAGAAAGCCTGGCTTCTTCGTGCAGCCACATGGTCAGAAAACTGTTCACCTTCCTCAGCCACACCTGATGCTGTAGCAGCTCGTTCTTAAGCCTTCTCCAGTGGGCTCCACCTCCAGCTTCCTCAGTCAGGTGGAGTTAGACTCTCCGGCCTCCTCTCGGTGGAGTTAAACACAGTCATGACAACTCATTCCCCCACAGGCACACATGCACCTGTATTCTCTCCCACTCACATCCACACACCAACAACAAGAAATAACATCAACGTAGCTCAATTTAGCTCCGACAATGTCAAACCAACCAAACAGTTTCCAAAGAATGTGCTGTCCTTCACACGACTCCATGTGTTTGTGTTGTTCCAGTGGTCTGGTGATCACCATGGTGGTCAGTTTGGTCTTCATCATGCTCCTGCGCTTCACTGCCGGTGTCCTACTGTGGCTTATTATCTTTGGTGTCATCACTGCGGTCGGCTACGGTGAGTGCGCGTAGACCGTTGCCCACAATGCCGCTGACTGCCGCATACCCAGAGCACATGTTGGAGATGCGACTTCCTCACCAGTCTAGCAGTAAACGGTTCTTTTGTCATAATAAAACTCCACTAGATTTTATCTCGGTTCTGTCATCTTCTCTCTCTCAGGTATCTGGCACTGCTACTGGGAGTACAGCTCTCTGAGCGGGAAGCCAGGCTCTAATGTCACCATCACTGACATTGGCTTCCACACAGACTTCAGCATTTACCTTCAGCGCAGCCAGACGTGGCTCATCTTCAGTACGTTGTCAATCACTACCGAGCTTTTATTTTTCCTTTTTAAAATGTGAGCTACACGTTGCGTAATCTGTGTCAGGGGCTTGTTTCTAGTTGTTCTACGAGGAGATGAATCCCTCTATACTGTCACTATAGTCCCATGTTTGTCGGAGTGAGTTAAATTAATATGTATGTTGACTTGGATGAAACTTTTTAAATCCGTAAGTAACATGTTGAAACGTATCTGTTATATACCCACTGATTCCTTTACAGTGATCTCCCTTTCTGTGATTGAGGCCGTCATCGTCATTATGCTGATATTTCTGAGGTCGAGGCTGCGCATCGCTATCGCTTTACTGAAGGAGGGAAGCAAGTAAGTAGAGAAATGAACAAAGGCTCTGTTAATTAAACCGTGTGTTTCACTCTGTTTTCATATATACAATGTTTGATCTTGTGTCCAGGGCCATCAGCTACATCATGTCCACTCTGTTCTACCCTGTCATCACCTTTTTCCTCCTGGCCATCTGCATTGCTTACTGGGCGGTCACAGCAGTGTATCCTTTTAACTGCTGAGGCACCGAAGAAGCGTTTCATCCAGAGAAGCGGAGGAGCTCTGCTGCTTTGATGCAATCTGTGGTAGTTTTACTGTCGAAACATTGCATCAGATTCATTAGGATAAGATCAAGACAAGTAAACAGATCATGAAGCACTACTGCAGTAGATGTAGCTGGAGAATGTTTTATGAGTAAATACCGTGTGGTTACAGTATTAAAACAAGGCCGGCTTGCTTTTATCTTAAGTCAGGGATTCCTGTGTGTATAAAGTTTCTGTTTGTGTTGCACTTAACTAATCTCCACTTAGCTTCTTAGCATCATCTGGCAATGCAGTCTACAAGGTCACACCTGCCGACGATAAATGCATGTATGCAAACCTCACGTGCAATCCTCAGGTTGGTCCCACACGCTTTACACAACAGAATGCTTTTACTGAAGAAATACTTTGTTTAATGTGTTTAGTTTTCAGAAAAGTGCTGGTCCCATTGATTCTTTGTTTTTGTAACTGTGTGATATTTCTCTGCCACATTCTTTCATCACACTCGACTGTGATCAATCAAATTGAGTTTAATAGCTTCTTTTCTGCCTAAAAGTAAAATGTAATATTATAAATCGATCAGATTTTGCATTGTAAATGGAGTTAAATTAGTAGCTAACAGCTACAAACATTTATTTGACAGATGCTATTTATCAATCAGGCCGCCCTCCCTCGCCATCTCAAAGGATTTATGTGCCGTGTGGTCACTCAGCGTTTAATTAATAAAGGATTACCTTAAAGCCATATGTTTTAAAATGATTCATTTAAATGCAAAATGGAGGCAGAGTGGTGGAAAAGACAAGAAGAGAAAGTGACACCAGTTTTTTTTCTGTGATTGAGTTGTTTAATTAGATTGTTAATAACATTACTACCACGTAATATATTTTATTTGGCTATGTTGTGAATAAGACCTCTTTTGCAATGCACTTCCAACTTTAAATGAGCAGATCACAATCATATCTGTATTTACTGCTTTGTTTCAGACCTTCAACCAGTCCAATGTTACCAAAGTGTGCCCCGGGTCGCAGTGCATGTTCGCCTTCTACGGTGGGGAGAGTATGTACCACCGCTACATCTTAGTCCTCCATCTGTGCAACCTGTTTGCGTTCCTCTGGCTGGTGAACTTCACCATCGCCCTGGGTCAGTGCACTCTGGCCGGGGCCTTCGCCTCCTATTACTGGGCCCTGAAGAAGCCAGACGACATCCCTGCCTGCCCGCTGTACTCCTCATTCAGCCGAGCCATACGGTGGGTAGCTGCAAGGACAAGCATTTTATTATATTTACTATGTGTAGAGGTTACTGTTTTGTTTTTATTTGTTGCTAATTTTAATATTGGGAAGTTCAGTATTTTTAGTTAAGATGTCCAGTGTTGCACTAGTGGTTCTTGTAGCTTCTTTCATGAGTCATAATAAGGGATTTGCCAAAACTAGCAGTTAAAGCTTCTAAGAAACTTTAGTTTGGTTCCAGTATTTTTTTAAAAAACAAGCAGAATTGAACACAGCGTCGAGGCAAATGTTCACGCCATATTCCATTTTCTTGTGTCCCAGATACCACACAGGTTCCCTGGCCTTCGGTTCTCTAATCCTTGCTGTGGTGCAGATGGTCCGAATTGTTCTTGAATACTTGGATCACAAACTGAAAGGCAAGCTGCAACCCTTTTAAAGGCACTAATATTCCCACTTTCACTAAACTTTTAATCATGAATTAAACTGTTGATGAATGATACTTTCCCAGGTTCTCAAAATGCCTGCGCTCGATTCTTGCTTTGCTGCCTCAAATGCTGCTTCTGGTGCCTGGAACGTTTCATCAAGTTTATAAACAGAAATGCATACATTATGGTGAGTCATTTCCAATCACGCCGTTGACTCATTCGTTGCATGCATGTTTACTGTTTTGCCAATAAGTGGCCATAACTCAATGCTTTAACTAAGAACGATTGACTTTGCTGCCACCAACAGATAGCAATATATGGGAAGAACTTCTGCACCTCTTCCAAGGACGCTTTCTTTCTCTTGATGAGGAATGTTGTTCGGTAAGACGCTTGTTAACTGTGTTATAGATTAACAGCCTCAGCAGAGCGCAGATGCTGAGACATCCACTGACAAGGCTTCTTAGCACATTCTGCAGTGAACTGATAGTCTTCTACAGTAAAATTTGGCTTTTTTTTTGGATAAAATGTCAGAATAACTCCGATTTTGTGGATAAAAATGTGGATTTCCATGTTTCAAAATTACAGTTGTACGTTTTTGCAGATTCACCTCCTCACTATCATGTACTTAGAGGCGATTGCACTCCCTTAAATCTCTCAGTGCATGACAGTTTCCTTTCCATTTCTCTGCTGTCTGCATTTCTCTTCCTCCTCTGAAGGGTGGCTGTCCTGGACAAGGTGACAGACTTTCTGCTGTTCTTGGGAAAACTGCTTATTTCAGGAAGTGTTGGTGAGTTTCACGTCTGCCGCACTCTGTGAAGTGACAGTGGCGTAGATAAAAAAAAATAAAATAAAAACTGCAGAAGAGGCAGGATGAGATATCTTCCTGAATATACGAAGGATGATAAATCATCTCGCTCTTAGTTATTTTTCGCCATGCACACACTCTGTTTCATGTTCATTTTGTGTCGTTGTAAGTTTAAATTTTAAAGCCACTGACTTAATTTTAGGGTGCCTTTAAATTCAATTCAGTTTATGAGATCTTAAATTAAATGCATGTCTTAACTAAGCCGGAGTCCGTACAGGCAACTCAGGCTATTACAACCATCTTGGTAAAACCTCCAGGCAGTTATTTCAGTCTAACAAGACCAGGTCACTGTCTGAATGAATGGGGAGAGAGCTTTAAGTGTAATAGAGACACAAAAACTGCTTGTCTAAGAGAAGATAGACAGGAAGGAAATTCTTGATGCATTACTGAAAAAAACAATAAGTACACTAAAATAAGACTGGAATAGAAAAGTAAAAAGTAACTGAACAAATGATACTGAGGAAGTGAAGTTTTACATGACAATTAAATATTGCACACAAAAATATGAAACATCTCACGTTACATCGACATGTTGTACATGAATGTGAAATATTACACAGTTCTAAAGCTGATATTGTACAAGCAATTCAAGAAAGTATTATTGCAAATGATAGTCATAATTAATGTTTATGTTTTACGTTTTATTAATGTTATATTTATTAATCTAAATGTTCCAACACAAGTATATGTTTGGAAGCCCTTTACTTGTAACACTTTGAAAGACACTTCCGGGTGAAAATCTAGTTTTTTACATGTCCACGTGTAAGTATTGCGTTTTTTTATGTGCTGGAAAACACATCATGAGCGAAATACGCAGTCAGCACCGTGGCTGAGCATCTCCACACTGAAACTGCAGCATACTGATGACCGTCTCAAAGCACAGATTCAAACAACCAGACTTTCATGTGGGACAAACCTAAGAAACCAATCTTCTCAGTTTGGAGGGTCAGACTGTCTGTATCATGATTTCTCTTTTAGAATCGTTTTCCAGTTCTAACATATATTATGGAATTACTTCAACATTACGACTTGTCATTGTGTAGCGTAGAGTTTTTTTTTTGTGTGTTCCAGAGCTGCAACAAGATTGATGAGTGAAGAGTGACACAAGAACTTAATAAATCCACATATTCTAATGGTATAGAGTTGTTTCCAGGCCATTTTTAGGCATAAAGAGGTTATTTTTATAAGAAATAAACCTCTAAATGTGTAATTTTGATGCACAAAGATGAGTTGTGGCGTCGCTTTTTCAAAAGTCCCTCTACACTGGATCAATCTTCCTTTGAAGCCTTTAGGGTTCTTCTATAATTTATAAATATTTGTACTCTGCTTCTAACTTAATCTTTTTTTTTCTCCATTCTTTCAGGTGTTCTAGCATTTTTCTTCTTCTCACGTAAAATACCAGTTTTTCAAGAGGAGGTGCCGTCACTAAATTACTATTGGGTCCCTCTTCTGGTAAGGAGTTTAAACATGAACTATCAGCTGTGATCAGTAACGTCTGATTCAGGAGGAGTAAAGTTGTTTGAGCAACAGAGACATGTTTGTGTTCTTACTTGGACTTTTCAGTGTTCACAGATAGGATTTAGTCGATCAGTTAGTACCTATAAGTAGTGGTCTCGTTATTGGATTGAGTTAAAAATGACTCTAGAGACTGATTCAAAGTGCTGTTGACAAATATATCAACATTCACATTGCTGCTTTTCTTTTTTATTTTGTGTACTGTTATTGTGTTTTATTCCAGTGACTGCTTCTTTTCCGGAGCTTATCTTATTTCATATAATTTGTTAAGTGCATTTTTTTTCTTCCTTAGTTGTGAAAAGTTGCTAAACTCCATTTAGCAGCTCTTTGTTCTTGCACAGACTAATGAGTTCTGTTGAGGGATTTATGACTCAGCCGTTTGTTTTCTTCTTGATGCTTGTAGTGTTTGCTGGCATGCAGGTTTTTGTTGTTGCACAATGAAACTGAGACGCTCGACGATGCGAAACGCGCTGACTGTGACCTGTTGATTGTTTCAGACGGTGATATTTGGATCCTACATGATTGCACATGGCTTTTTTAATGTCTACGCCATGTGTGTGGACACATTGTTCCTGTGCTTTTGTAAGTATGCTAGTTTTTTTATCAGTTTACATGCCACAGTGAGACTATGACTGCCAGCTGAATGTAACTCTGTCCAGCTTCAAAACTAGTTCTTCATTCTAACTATAAATGATTCCTGCTCATCCTGTTTCAGCTCTCTTTAATTCCAGCATGCTCTTTGTTCATTTACCTCCACTAAGCCTTTGCTTTCTCTTTGTGGCCCTTCCTTCTCTGCTCTGTCTGCTACTCCTCCTCCTCCTCCTCCTCCTCCTCCTCTGCTGCTGGGACCAGGCGAAGACCTGGAGAGGAACGATGGTTCTTCCTCCAGGCCCTACTACATGTCTCCTGGCTTGCACAAGATCCTGCGCAAAGGAGAGGAGGTTCCCAAAACGAGCGCTGCCTCCTGAGCGATGTGCAGCCGTTTTACTAAACTTTTGACTCTCTGACTCACTTCTCCATATCTTGCGTATGCGCGGGAGTCTGGACGTTTGAGAGCGAGCACTGTAGGGCTAAACATCAAATCTGGATGCATCCCAGTCAGGTCAGGGATGACCTGGACATGAAAAGGACATGCGGTTACTTCAGGTCCTCGCAGAAAAAAAGGCATGGGGGACTGGATTTAAAAAAAAACAAAAACAAAGACTTCAATTCACTTCCTCTCTTGAGCCAACTCAGATACTTGCCTTTTTTTTCTGCTACGCTTCTGTTCATGTTTCTTTGTTTCTTCTCTGTATTCTCTGCTGACCTCTGCCTTACTGAGAGGGTACAGGACGGATGCACAGGCTGAGATAAAAACGAGACGAGCATTTTTTTTCTTTTTTTTTTTTACCCAAACGAACATGAGAACCTTAAAATGTACAGATGCCACCGATGGACTACGACATAAGGCATCACCATAACAAAAAAAAAAAACAAGTGGTGGACTTATGGGGCACCCTCTTGTCGCACTTTGGTCTTCTAGTGTAAAATCATGTTTTGTATGCACTTTCACATACGGGAAAAGAACCATGTGATTTATTTCTTCTGTGTAGCATGATTATTTTGCTGGCTGTTGGATGTTTACCATTGGAGGATTTTTTTTTCTAGGTTGCTTTAATCAATCCACCGTATTTATACTAACACACACACACAGATCCAAAAACAGTGTGTATTCTGCACTTAGCAAAAACAGGTGTCTCATATTTTACATCGGATGCACAGTCATTTCAGTTTTCATTCTGCTCATAGATGTACTGTAAAACCTGACAGAGACTTTGTGGGAGGTCAAGACTTTCAAAAAAAGGCATTTTAATGGTTTTTTGCTTAAAATCTGAACAGAACCTGACAGTTTTTTCAGGAAACTTCTGAATGCAGCCACTAGTTTATGTGCCTAGTTGTGAAAAAAAAAAAATGTAAACAAAAAACAAACAAAAAAATGTTCCTCTTATTCTGTGGTTTTAGACCTAACACCAGGAACCTTTGCGATACAGTTTATAAAAGGATGTCAAAGCCATTTTTGGTAAACTTTTTATTGGATGGTTCAGATGTTGTGCTGTTTTAATACTAAGTATGATACACACATCTGTCTGGAGGTTATTCAGTGTTCTTTTTGTATAGGAGAAATTTTTTTTATTAATGAATCCAATGAAAATGTGAATCTTTGTTTTCGAATAAACATAAATGGTTGAAGTATTGCGCCGTCTGTTTTGAAAGGTTGTCATTTGCCGTGATGTCGGTTTTTTTTAAAACTTCTGCTACTGCTGCCTCCTAGTGTGGGATCTGGAGGTGAACGACGGCTCTCCACACCGGCCCTTCTACATGAACAAAGCCTTGAGGAGGATCCTCAACAAGAAGAACAGGAGGAAGTAGAGACGAGAAGGAGAAAGACTGAAGGTTAATGCAGAAGCACGGTACAAGCCCCTGTGGCCATAAACACTTCGCCAAACCTAATTTAAGTGTACACAAGTTGCATCGGTGCACTATAACGAGATGAGGGACTTGAGTAATCTGATTCCCCCACACACTAATTTATGGATTTGAGAGTTTACTCCAGATGTCCGTGCGTCTAAAAATCTTTAATTTGCAGGTGTACAAAGTCACACCAGGTTATTGTAAATGTTTTTTTAATGTACTGTAACGTCTTTGTTTTTTGTATGTTTTACAGCCAAAGTCAAACTACAAATTAGGTAATAAGTGAATCCTGTCTTTATGAGGCTGGTAACCTTGTTTTTGTTCGTCGTTAATATCTCGTAGTTGCCAGTTTTCAGCACTTGGTGGTGCCAGAAGTCACACGTGTGCTGTTGTTGAGGTGTCAGTGCACCGCTGAGTATCCGCTCCTCACAGTCTTTGACCTCGAAGTGTCTCACATTGAGAATCATATTCACCACTTGATGTCCACAGTTTTCATATTTAACTGCCATCGCAGCTCAAAGTGCTTCACTTTAAAGTGCCTTTTTCTTAAACTCGTCACACTGAGTGACTATAATTTAATATTGCAGCTATGTAGGTTATATTTAAAGACAGTTATGTGTTTTTTAAAATAAGTTCTTAAAGGGATGTTTATAGCAGCCAGACATGGAGATCCTTGTCTTTTCCAAATAGCTGCTTTGGTGCAGGAGTGAAAGGGTAAATAAGAATATGTTCTGTGTTTAGAGGACATGTTTTACACTCGGCAGCAGCTTCTGTGCTCAATGAAACCTTTTGTTTTATGCATGTGATGTTTCTTTGGTTTTCACCTGCTGCTGATACGTATACACTATGTGACTCATCGACAGCTATAATAAGCATTACAGTGAGTGAAACGTGCTGATTGGTCGCTCCTAAATTGATACTCTGAAAATGTTTCTCATTAATATTAAACAGTCGACCTCTGTTGATTTTATAGGCAGCTCCCTTGATGTTATTATTATTATTATTATTATACTCCAACGCTTCGAACACAATCAGTTTTCTCCAGCCACACTTGTGTTACTACCTACTTCTCTACTGACTATTTTTATGTGTTTCAGCAACATCACAATACATCTAAATATGTGGCTAACCACAAACACAGCTAACAAGCAGAAGCAATGTGAAAATATTTTTTGCTGGAACGGTTTGATAAGTTTGTCTTGATTTCTGAGTCATCCGTCTGATATTATAAACAGAACATGTGACCAACATTTGTTGTCTTTCTGAACTTGATTTGAAAGAGTGCTCCAGATTTTTTGCTGAGTTTGCTGAGTGGTTTGTGTTACCTGTGAGCCAATAATTGTGGTTTGAGTGTTTGATCAGTTGGTGAAATCCAGATTTGTCCCTGCAGCCAAACTCCAGGAAGCATTGCAAAAAGAGATGCACTGTTTCAGCCACACCAGTAGAACCACCGACAGAGGAAGTGAATGACACTGATCATCGTGTTACAATGCAATGTTCTGCTGAGACACCTACAGTTCTGGTTTCCTTGAAGTTATTAACATGCACCACCCATCTAAACGCTGTCATCTCCATGGCAACAGGACTCTGCTTCCCCCAGCAGGACAGTGCGCTCTGCCACACTCCAAAAACTGCTCTGGAACAACTTGAGGAACACGACCTGGCCTCCAAAATCCCCAAATCTCAAGGATGCTCTGAACCGACCCCGGCCCCACACTGCGACAAACGGGACCCAAACAGTGATGCCAACAGGACCCCCACAGAGGCCCTGTGTTCATGATCAGATGCATCAGGGCCACTTTGGCAGCACAACAGAAAGGTAAACAACATTAGGCAGGTGGTTTTACTGTTGTGCAGGTTTGGTGTTTACAGCTGTGGACAGATTCCCGCTGTGTCCTCTTATTGTACATTCAAACCTTTAGATCTTTTTTTGAGTGGATTTCTACATCATTTCGAGTGACGTGACTCGTGTTTGTACGTCTTTGTCAACCCTGAGAACATGCCCTCATGGTACCTGGGAGTGACAGCACCGCCAGACTTGTACACCTTCTGCCCCCATTCGAGCCGAACACGCCGGGACACGAACGTCGTAACATTCAATGAAAGCAAAACAACTCAGCTTGTGTACCTGAAAGAAGACAAATGATGCATGTAGTGCTCAGTGGGGCATATTACCGATGTGCTATGTTGTGTTTTTTTTATACTGAAACACTACCGTACTCCCTGTTGAATTGTGTCTTTCTGTGCATGTAGCTCAGGTTTGGTTCCCATCGGGGGAATACCTGAGATCTGATAAAAAAGAAAAAACTCTGTTTTTATATGCCTCTCGCTCCCTCCCATGTCTGGAAATTAGATTCTTTTGGTCAACCACAGTCAACAAGCAGACACAAGTTAAACTTCTCTCTTGGTAAAATGTGAGTCAGTTTTCTTACCACAAACTCTTTAAAGTCAGAAGTTGCAGTTATGAGCCCTCCAGGCTCATTTACCCAGAAAGTCCACAGTATAAACGTGTCCCTGATATTTATTCATACACTAAAGTAGTGTTTTTAATGGAATGAATCACCCGTGTTTAGGTTCATCTTTTAGAAATGAATGTGTCTTACTAGTGCTTTCATCAGTAAATAGTTTCTCCACTATGCACACTTGATTAAAATGACTTTCTTGCTAAAGTGTAAAAGTGGCACCATGTTTGTGCAAAATATGTTTTCAGTCACTCATCTCCCAGGTTTGTGAAATTAGACATTTATTCTCAAAACAGACGTACACGTACAATAAATTAAATTCCAACACTGCTATACATACAAGTTCAAGTTCATCTTCATATGGAGTTGATATTTTGGGTCTGGTAGCTTTCACGTAGAGGAGCACGGTCAAACTTTGTCACCAACTACACAAACAAATAATAGAAATCTAGAATGTCATGTGTCACCATCCTATGAGGTACACCGAGACCTTTCCGGTTCCACGTCGTACAGTACATTCAGGACAGCAAGTCAGAACCGTCCAGAATTTTTAAAACAATATATAAACATGTGGTGATGAGTTACCGGCGGTTTGAGAAGAGAGAAAAGGTTTTTTATGGTTCACTGAAAATCAAATTATATTTACCATGGAATACTGAATACAGAATACTGCAGCTGCTGCTGGTGGCGGCGGACGAACGTTGGCGAAGTCTGAGGATGCTTTGTGTGTTTGTGTGAGTGTGTGTGTGTTTTTTTTTTTGTGTGCAGCTCAGGCGTGAGACACAGGCAGCGAGGTCATGGCGTGGGCCGGCAGCAGCGGTTGAAACATGGAGGGAGGAGAGTGAACTGCAGGAACACAAAGACGGTTATTACAGTAAGTCCAGTAACCAGTTATGTCAATATGTAAACATCTGCACGTGGAGCAGCTTCGTGAAGGCAATCGGTTTGATTCCACTGTCTGAAAGCTTCCATATCGTCCAATATTTAATGAAAATATATCATGTTTGTTTGTAATAAATACAAAAAAAAGTGAAAAACACAAAATAGCTTGATCATTTTAAATAGTTGCATCCTTTTCATCCCAGGTTTATGGACGACTAATGCTGTTTGGAAGTTCATTATCATTATTTAAAGGGGAAAATTTACATTTGTATAATTTTTTAAGTTTTTAAATAATCAGTTCATCTTTACTTTTAATTTATCTTATAGCCTCATATTTTAGAAAACCTCTTTATTCCCTCCTTTCACTATTTTTTTTTTATGTTTCTCGAACAAAACATCCAACAAACACACAAAGCTTGTATGTTTCTTAGTCTGCATTTACACTAGAATGTAGACGTGTGTGTCTGCAATCAAGAATTTTCTTTGGGATTAATAAGATTCTGTCTTATATTAAACTACTTATGGCTTCTGACTGTAAAGGTTCAGTTAAAATGAGATCAAACTGGTGCCAGATATTGCTCAGGGAAAAAACAGACATAAGAAATGCAATGCCTAAAAGTGGAAATAAAATTTAGGTATGATGCATTACTGAAATAAAGTAAGTGAGCTCGAATAAGACTAGAATAGAACCATAATAGTAATGCTGGCAGTCATACTGAGGCAATATCACACATGATAATGAAGTATTGCACTAATTGCAAATGAGATGTTGCCCATTGCACTGACAGTGTTTTACATTAGAGTGAAAAAATGCACATGAAATCAAAATGTTGTAAATAAAAAATGAGATGTTACAAATTCTAATGAAATATTACACCTGAGAAATGAAAACATGAAATCTTGCACATGAAATGAAATGCTCCACATGATACGGAAACTGATATTGGACAAACTACTGAGAAGTAATCCTGCAAATGATATTGATCTTATTGCTTTGATATGAGTGTCTGATGCTTTAGTTGCTGCAAATACACCAGGAGATCACAGATAAACTCGTCCAGCTGATCTAGTAATACTCTCAAAATACATGGCTGTTGTCAAATTCCATAAATGTCAACTCGTGAAACATTTTTATTGTGATGTGACTATTTCACATCACAGGCGTATATTCACATCCTTGTCCAATGTGGGGTAATTATAATGTAAAATGTCCCAGACAGTGAGCTCTAAAGGAGTGTAAACATCCCCAGCAGTGCACAATACAGCCATAAGAAGTGACAAAAGCTCTTACTGTCTATGAAGGAGTGCAGCGCCGAGAGCATGGACCCCTCTGGGCCTCCGTAGGCCGTGTACTGCAGCTCCTCGGGGGTCGGGGTGGGCTGGGACAGCCGGCTGGGCTGCATGGAGGTCATGGGCGCGCTGGAGGTGTGGTTGGGGCTCACGTGCTTCTTGTGGCGAGCTCGACAGTTCTGGAACCAGACCTGAGTTAACGGGACAAACAATCAACAAGCAGTGACAGAAACACCCGCGGTTACGTCAGCTTGTGGATCAAACGAGCCGTTATCTCTCTGCTAAAATAAAAAAATCTGTCTTTGTTGAGTTACAGTGAGGGAGTCACATTTACCCTGATGAGTAAAACCACTGGGGTTTTTTTTTTGCCTTCCTTGTAAGAGGTTTTGTTATGTTTAAACATGTATTGTTGCAGAACCATAACTAGAGACAGAGGAGGAACAAGTCTGTCCAAGGTGTGTTTTCTCCAAAGGGTCACACTCTGTTGGAAGATGGAACTACACTTAGTGAATCACAGTAGCTGATGGACTGACTCCTGTGTGGTGGTAAGTGACATCATTTCATCTATTGATGCTTCTGCACATCTGAATATCACAACTATATTTGCTGTACTGCCGTTTAAAAAACAGATTTACACATATTGACAATATTTTAAACTTAATACTTTTAATTTCTCCTTTTCTTCCTTAACAAATTTTTCCCAATTCATTTAATATTTGCTGTCATCTTTTCTTCAAACTGGGCTGTATGAGGCCAAAAATGAAAGAATTCATTATTTTCTCAACAGAATTGTGGAACTCGTTACCATCCAGCCTCTAGGTCAGCTGGATGCAACACAAACCAGGTGTGTTGGGTTGAGGTAAAGCAGGTTATTGCTCAGTAATGTCATTAAAACCAACAACTGTGACAATACAAAGAAAACAAGGCTGGGATGATGCTAAATCAAAGAACCAAATAAAACCAAACGAAGGCCGAGAGTTACAAAAAATATACCTAAATAAGAATAACTGAACTCCCTAGCCAAGCTTGATTACAATAACAACACCCATATCCATTCTGACTGGAGGAGAAAACTACAAATCTAGAAGTAAAGTGACTCTTAGCTCCACTCTTCTATCCTTCCAGAGCAGGAACAAACCTGTCCGAGGGGAGTTTTTCTAAAAGGTCACATTGTGTTGGACGATGCAGATGAAACTGGATTCTAATTGTTACAACTATGAGTATAAAGCTGTGTGACACGGCTTTAGATTTGTAACTAGAAAGCAATTCTTACTTTTATTGCACACTTAAATAACTTTAATTAGCTTGTGTGAAAGGTAATATTGAGCTTCTTTTTTTAAAGCATTCACTCCATTTGTAAATAAAACCTTTCTTTACACACACACACTTCCAACAGACACAACATGCACCTTCGCACGCAAGGAAACAGTTCTAACAGTATTGTGTCTCTAAGTTGCAGTATCATCCTGTAACATGCGTCATCTGTTGTTGTTTTTTCTCCTCCTCTTGCACCCTCACTGACCTGTATGACTCTTCGACTGAGGCCCGTCTGCTCCGCCAGCTTCTGCAGTGTTTGGGCGTCTGGGTTGTTGTCCTGAGCAAACTGAGCCTGCATCACCTGCATGTGCACAGGTAGAAGAAAATCAAACAGGGTTTCTCTCTTGAGGAATGACATGATTCACCTGCAGATCAGAAGAACCTGCTGTGAAGAGAAACACACTCAGTAATTCAACAGAGTGACTTCAGGTGTATAACGTTTCATTCAATTTTGGACATCTCTCTTTCTCTACATAGACAGAAATCATTTATGAGTGACATAATGTTAGTTAATAAATAAACAATGTAATTGTGTGAGCCCAGTGCACACTAATCATTATTACTGAGAAATGAAATCAGTACAAAATAATTCAAAACCAGCTTCTTCGTGTGCATTTAAATAATTACTAAATGAGTTTTTGATCAACATAAATGTTTAGTTTTACATTTGTGTTACATGTTTTCTTCAAAAGGAGAAAAAAAGAACCTCACAATTAAATACAAAAACTAATGAATCCGTGTCTCCAACATGGACACTGAGACTAAATCAGATTTTTTCTCTATTGTAGATTTTGCACATGTGAATATGGAAACTATTAAATGGGGAAAAAAATAACTACACATATTGGTAATATTTTAAGTAAGGGGTTTTGATTTCTCCTTCTAAAAAAAAAAAAGGTGCATCAAAAAGACAACCCTGACTCATTTATTTGTGCTATTATCTTCAATTTAAACTGATTTTTAGGCCATAAAATGAAAGAATTCTGTGTTTTTTCTCAGCAGAATTTGAGTCATTTTTACTGAATCAAAACACCAAACACCTAGAATTAAAGTGAAGCTCTACTCATCCATCCTCCTATTCTAGATAAATGGAAACGAATAAATGAAATCGACATGCATCTGTACAGTTTGTGTTGTGAACGATGCTGCTGGATGAGCCTGACCTGCAGCTGGTCAGCGGTGAAGCTGGTCCGGGCTCTCTTGGAGGGTTTCGGCTGGTTGATCTCCTGCTCGGTGGGCACAGCTCCCTCCATGTTCACGCTGCTGCCTGCAGCAAAGCAGTGCGTCACATTAAAACACAAAACAGCTGTTTGCGCATTGGATATTTAACGCTACATTTTTTATTTTTTTTTAACAAAATCAACCAAGCTCTCCAGCCTCACCTTTCTCCACGGCCCGCTTCAGGTTGTCCAGCATGCAGTCGTAGTGGACCCTGCAGAGCACCTTCCCCTCCACCAGGGCGAACTCCTCCCCGGTGGACAGCTGCCTCTTGCAGGAGAAGCAGGCGAAGCAGGCCAGGTGGTAGACGTTGCCCTTGGCCCGGCGGACCCAGTCTGTGGAGTGGATGTTCCGGCCGCAGCAGGCGCACCAGGTGCCGTATCTTCTGCAGGTAAAGGTCTCAGTGAGCCGCCTGATGGCTTCGACACACTCATGACAGTTTAAAATCACTATTTATTTATGAACTTATCTTTATTTTTAGGCCAATGTTTCCCACCAGAATCAGCTTATTTAGTCTAAAGCTCTGCAGGAAAACCCTTAGAAATATGTGGTAGAATAAAGGCCTGCTAGATTTGATCAATACAATTAAAATCTTTAGTCTCTATTTCATTAAATATTCAATCTAATGATTCCATATTATCTGCTAAAATCCTCTACATCAGTCTGTCTTTCGATTTTTATTTTTAATATCTTGATTAAAAATAAATAAAATTACAATTTGGACTGATGGTTTAATGGCAAATTGAATTAAATAAATGTCTGCACTAAGAAGCATCCCTCTATAAATATTTTAGTTGTATTTAAAATGATCATTAATGGTTCTAATCATCTTCCAATATTAACTGCAGCCAATTTATCGAACGGATCGTAATTTGGTTGATTTGTTTGCAGCAAAATTTCGTTTGGATTACTTTAATTTTTCGTTTGATGACCTCAAATAAAAGCCGATGCACCTACCGAAAGTAATCGAGTTTACAGAAAACCTCCTTTTCTTTGATGTAGCAGCTCGTGTGGCTGCCAAGCGAAGTCTGGCACACGCTGCACGAGAGACAGCGCACATGCCAGCACAAGTCGTTAACCTAAAGCCAAGATGTGAGAAATTAGCGAAAGTCAATCAGTTCAAAGGTGGGCCTGCACATTTACAAAAAACAAAAACAAATCCAAACTACAGAGGAGGAGGAGAAGGAGGAGGGAGGGGAAAGAAATTAGGCGAGAAAAGCGCACAGAATATAAACGCACCAAAAATAATTTAAAAAAGGAAAAGTGCAACCGGTTACCTTTAATAAATATTTATCCACTATTTCCTCGTTGCAGCTCGCACACACGGTTCTCCCCAGCAGAGGCGCAGATGCCATCGCCTGTAGGGACGACGCGTCGTCATCCAGAACTTCCACCGGCGCGCCCTGAAGAGACCAGACCTGCGGTTAGAAAATTACGCACAGGAACGCATCCACCCCGAACCTGCAGCACGGCTACGATAATGTGTTTGAACTCGCTTCACGTGTGGCTAAACTCTCAGTGTGAAAATCATTTACTTTGGTCTAAACTTTTTTTTTTTTTCCCAATAAGAATAAACCCGTTGGAAGAAACTGTTAAGAAATGAGCAGAACTCACATTTAAAACGCAAAATTAGGAGATTTCTGTGATAAATAAGACAGAAAAAGTTTGTCTTTCGGATTGAGTCTCTGTTTAGGAGTAAATCTGGAGTGAATATTTTTTATTTTCTAACCCAAAATGCGCATTTTTTCGAATTCAAAGCCATTTTTAAAAAAACTTCCTCCATCCAAAAATGCCTACCGGACAATAAATCAGCCACAGCATCTCCCATTCCTCCTACCATTATGTCTCTCCTGTCCTCAGTGCATTTGCCTAGCAGCTCTTCGTCTCCTTTGCAATCCTCACACATGACGAGAAGCTGAGCGGCGGGGCTCGAGGATGCCGGTCGGTCTGTCACCCTGAGGCAGCTGCCTTAAATGCCCCCTGCGCCTTCCCCATAAATATCATGCCTTTCACTTTTCACCATGACAACGCCGGCGATTACCAAAATGACATTTAAAAGAGAAGGATAGTCATTACTTACAAAAACAGACAACACTTGAACTAACAGGCTACTTATCCTATGCGCATTATGTTCTTGAGCTGTGGATTTTTTTTTTCTCCCTCTCTCTCTCTCTTCGCCGCTGCGGTTAAAAAACCAAACCAACACACCAATTTTACGCGTCAATCAGAAAACCAGCGCGACGTCTCGAAGGGGGGACAAAAAAAAAAAAAAATGGGGGGGATTGATTTATTTAATAACAGCAATTAAAAAGGCTGAGTTCGCCACAAACGTCTACCCGGGGCAACCAAAAGGTGAAGAGGTCTCATTAACTACTTGAGTTTTAATTGCAGAATTCAGGGAGGGCTAATTTTCTTTGACATTTCTTCAAATTGTGAAAATACTGAGCTGTCAAGCTTATAGAGGCCGGGCTCCTAATGGCGCACTGAAGCCCACTCCGGTTTAATTTGAGCGAAGCAATTTCCCCCCACTAATATTGAACCGCTGATCAAGAAGTTGGAAGCTGCTCCACTCACCTCATCGTCGTTGGACAGCAGAGATCCGCTGTCGGTGTCGTTCACGATGCAACACTCGACTTTGACTTCACTTTTCCAGCGCATGTCTGCGTCCGGGAGCTTCTTTCACTTTTACGCACTGCTATTCTTTCTTTCTCCTCCAGGATTCCTGTGTGTGTGTGTGTCAGTCAGTGCTTTCTCCTGAGCTGGTGTCTAGAGGGCGGATCATAATTCATCATTTCTCGTCCTTATAGCCGCGCCTCCCTTAGGAGAGAGAAGAAAAAAAAAACCTGGTGGGAAGGGTTTTTATGCAAGAAATTAAAAAAAATCTCTCACCGTTATGCGCTTCTATTTTCTCCAAAGCCAAGTTTGATTGCCATTTCTGTTCAAACAGTTTAATAAATAATAAGCGGTGAAAGTGCCAGAAGGCCCCATCATTTGAAGCCTCTTGAAGTTTTGCCTGAGTATTTTAATTATTATAGTTTATTCTTGTGCGTTACAATATCGCTGATTAGTTCTCACACTGAGCTCCAAAACATGTGATTTTCTAATAACAGATGGAACATTTCTGCAGAATAAACTACAGCACAGTCCGGAAAGTGTGTAGAACCAGAACCACACCAACCAGCTGTGTGTTTGCTGCAGTAAAAATATTCTATTAATGCAATAATAATCTATAATCAATCAGATGATGATGTATTCTAAAGGAGCCATTCCTGCATTACATTCGCTTAAGTGCATTTTGCTGCCAATATTTCTGTGCTTTAAGTAAAAATAATAATAATTTTGTATCTCCTTCATGCAGTTTTGTTACTTTTATTTAACTGGAGTGTTATTATATGATAAATTATAATATTAAAATGTTTCTTCTGCTTGTTCCCATGACTTTGCCGCCTGCTAATGCATCTTGGAGCAACATGTGATCAGTTTATTGAAGCCAAACAGCTCCTCAGTCTGCCAGTTTGCTCTGATTTCACCCTGAAGAACTTTAAATATCTGATTTTATTGACATTTTGCCGTTTAAGAACCTGCTCAGGATGTGGTTTCCAGCATAAAAGAGATTTTTTTTCCTGCTTGTTTTCATCTGAATAATCTTCAGAGGCCAAAGGGACAAAATATCCCAGTGCATTTTATTCAGTGTTTTTTAAAAAAATCCTGATTATTTTGGGTTGCATAAACATATTTTCCTTATTTTCCAGCTTTGCTTCATTTCAATTATCCTCACCACTCCTGCAATTTGTCCTGCGGCCCGGATTGAGATCCTGAACCTCAGGTTGGACACCACCGTGTTAGCTGGCGCTCAGGTAGAAACATTACAACTTTTATTATTCATAATAAATATCCAATTTGTGTTTAATGATCTAATGAAGCGCAGCCCATTAAGCATCATGTGAGCAGGTTTTCAATCTCTCTGAACTGCTCGACCCACTTTAGCTGATCCTAATGGCGCAGGAGCAAATTTACAGTGAGTCAAATCAGCGAACCCAGCTGACATGTGGTGCACCTCAGACTCCTGGAGCCCCTCCGAGTCACCTTTACTTAACATAATGAAGCTTAATGTATCCGGCATTCACGTTCGCTGTCGGTTTACTGTGAAATAAAATACAGGCTCAGCTGCCTGTTGGCTGTAACGTCGTCTAACCTGTGAGGAATCCTTCATGAAGGCTTTCATGTTCAGCTGTTGATGAGTGTTTTTCTCCAGAAACCTTTCTCTGATCAGTGTCCAGTGTAAGAATAAGCATCATTATTATAATACTTTAAATGTATATAGGTTATATTTATATTTTACACTTTAAAAATCGGTTGATTGCTTTCTGCAGCGTTGTGCTTTTGTAAGTTAGCATTTAAATTTTTTTGTCTCCATTGCTCAGCACAGACACGATTCACATTTTAATGTTCAACCTAATAAATTACATAAAAAACAAATGCAAAAAAAAAAAAAACGTCCTTACATAAGCTTATTTACAACCAAGCACAACATGCTGTAGCATAAAACCGGTTGTACATCCATTCGTTAAATCCCCACCCAGTCATCAATGCCTAAAACAAGATTAAACACTAAATGTCAAACTTATAATCAGCCTCCTGAGCATTTAGTTTGATGGCTTGTGAGACGAGACTTCCTGTTAGCTGAAGAATACACAAAGCAAAAGGATCTCTGAAGCTTAACAGAATTGGGAAATGGCATCAAATGAAAATACTAAAAGACTTTAAAGTGTTTTTATGACAAAGTAGAGAGAAAAAGCACCAAAGAAAATCATCCCACTGCTTTAAGTCTGTATGTAAATGATGTCAGTGAAAGGCGGCGCTCTGTGTTCTCTTTCGGAGGTAATGCAGATACTTTAGATTAGAAGGGCTGCAGTTACTTGACAGAAAATAACACAGTTGCTCACTTGTGCCCTTATTGTCTTTTTCCACTCACTCGTTCACCCTCTCAACCCCTTCGCCCACAGGATCCCACCCGTCCTCACCCCTCACACCCTCCTTCCACTTCAACCACACACACACTCAGCACAGCAACAAAAAAAAAAAAAAGAAAGAGGCTATTTTCTGTCCTCCGCTGTTTCGGATAACAGTCCGACCTGCACCGGCATGAGCCTGCGTCCGTATCACTCCATCGCAGAGGGATAAAGGAGTTAGCGTGCCTCCATCGAGATGTGTCCTGTTCCACCTGGTGGAGATGAATGCTCCTTATCAGATAAGACAGCTCAAACAGCGCATAGTGCAGAGCAGACGTTTGGTGAGACAACCACACAGGAGAAGCCTGAGTGCAGCAGGAGAAGCTCTGAAAAAACTGCTTGATGTTCAGATGCAGAGGTCAAAGGTTTAGAAGACAGAAGTGATGCCAAACAGACCTACTTTGAAACATCTAATTCTCAGAGTGTTTCTTACTTCAGCGTCTGTACAGTGTCTGATCTGAGCACAGATGTTGGGAAAGATGCAAATCTTGAGTGTGCAACAGTTGCATGCTTTCATTTTCAGCGCTGCACGGCTGGCTTCCTAAATGTTTTATGCGATGTGGACCAGACAAAAACAACGCCTCATCTGTCAACGCGCTCGCAAACTTGTTCTGCAGCTTCAACTGCTTCACATCTGTCTGCGTGAAGCCGCCGTGGTATATACAGTTTGATCTATAAATAATCCTCCGCGTAGGAGAGGCAGGAATTAGGGCAGTAATTACAGTGGCATCCAGGGTGATGATAAAATAGGTCTCAGGTTCAAATTTAAGGTCACACTTTTGGAACATTATGCAATCAAGAAGTGAAGCTAAATGGATATTTCTTCGTCTGTGAGGGACTTTCAGGCAAAAAAATGGGATGTATTTTTGTTTATGGATCACTCCTGTAACCTATTAAACAGACTATGTGTTGTTTTTATAATATGTACAGATGCTGGAATGACATTTCAATACGTAGGCGTCAACAATACCCTCAGGTTAACATAGTTATGTCAGTGCTTAAACAAAGAATAAATGTCATTCTCCTGAACCGGACTCACTCAATGATCCACCAAACAAGAATGACTGCTGTAAACACCAACACTGAACATGATCCTTAGAAGATGCAACATCAGCAAAAAGTGGCATCTAGAGGGTTTTTTCACTGTTATTTTTGTATTAAAGTTTCATTTAAGAAGACACACAGCATCCCCGAACACAGAGATTCTCATTTCTGTATTTGTTCCCTCTCAAATGTTAAAGTCCAATTTCCAGAAGTGTCTCTTACCTGCAACTTAACCATTTAAAATACTAAATTATATCATAAATAATTGCTGTAAATGGCAAAGCTAAGCATGTATTTAGTTTTTTTTCATACTTACAACATGCAGAATTGGCCCCATGTGGCATATTTCTACTCCCAGACTGATTTTTTAAAATTATGTTATTGTGAAAGTTTCATTTACAAACACAGTGATTGTCGTTTCTGTATTTTGTTACCTTCTTGGCAAAGGACAGAGTTACCATTTCAATAAGCCAAAGTCAACAAAACAAGCAGGTTAGCATTTATTCAGTTATTTAAGTGCTTAAACAAAGAACAGACAGAAATGTCATTCTCACTAACGTCTGATTTAACCTTCTAAAACACTTAATATCAAACACCGATGCCAAAACTAAGCTTGTATTCTATTTTTTTCATTCTTACATCATCCTTACAAGATTCAAAATTGGCAAAATGTGGCATATTTCTGCATCTAGAGTGTTTTTATTATTATTATTTTCATGCAAAAGTCTCATTTAAGAAGAAGCACTGCATACACAAATACAGTTATTGTCATTTCTGTATTTTGTTGCCTCTCAAATGTGTGAGTCCAGTTCTGGGTAAAGGGAAGCGTTAACATTTCAAGAAGCCGATCTCTACAAAACATAACATAGTTTTAGAATCAGACAGAAATGTCGTTCTCACTAACTTGTGACTTAACCATTTAAAATACTTAATAATAGCAGAAATAACTGCTGTAAATAGCAAAACCAAGCATATATTTAGTTTTTTTCATCCTTACAAGATGCAAAATTGGCCACATGTGGCATATTTCTGCACTTAGAGTGATTTTTTTCTTATATTTATCCTGTAAAAGTTTCATATAAAATACAGTAATTGTCATTTCTGTGTTTTGTTCCCTCTCAGATGTGAGTCCCTGTTCCTGGCACAGGGAAGAGTTGACATTTCAAGAAGCCAACATCAACAGAGCACACAGGTTCACACAGATCTATCAGTGAGTCACTTAAAATACGGAGCCAAACTAAACTGAATGCTGTGAATACAAAAACTGAGCATCTTTCTTTCATCCTTCCAAGATACAACATTGGCACCATGTGGCATATTTCTGCATCCAGAGTGATTTATTTTTTTTATCTGATTGTCTTGTAAAAGTTTCATTTGAGAAGATGCATCAAACCCAAATACAGTAAGAACTAGGGATGTGAGAGCCCGTCGGCCGGAGCGTTTGACCCCTGTCTCGGCCTGATGTACTCCTTCCACATGGACCTTTGCTTTCTTTGGAGCTGCAACTGCTCATTTATTTCATTGAAATCAGTCCAAATTGGGGTGGTTTACAATTGACACAACGAGTTTGGCGTGACCTTTTTCTCCTTGCTATAAATGGGTACTCATCGAATCTGAAGGGAGGGAGGGAAGTTGCGTTGGGTTGGGATGG